GGCTGACACCATGGTGTAGCCGAACTGCTGCAGAAAACTCCAGACGCTGAGTGGGAGAGTGAAGGGGAGGACGAAGAGCACAGTGAGGAAGATAACAATGTCAAGTCTCTTGGGTTGCTGCTGCTGCTGCTGGGAGCCACACTTGACCTTAATGAAGAGAATTGTGCTGGAAATGAGCATGGCTGGAGCAAAGAGCAGGAGGTTGAGGGCATTCATGGAGATGAGAGTCACCTGGCAGTGCTGCGGCCTCAGTGACAGGCACAGGATAACCACTGTAACAAAGGGGAGGGCCCAGAGAAGGACAGTCATGAACCCTGATAGGTGCCGGGGACGGTGGCAGCGGTACCAGAGCGGGCAGAGGACGGATGTGCACCTCTCGATGCTGATGGCTGTCAGCAGGTACAGCCCCGTGGTGTAAGAGAACAGCGAGAGCTGGAAAAACAACTTCAGGTACTCTCGGAGTGTAATAGTGTAGCAGGAAACTTCCTCCAGCAGGTGGAGCAGGAGGGAGGTGGCCACAAAGAGCAGGAAAATGAAGTCGGCGACAGCCAAATGGAAGATATAGACTGTGATGGCGTTCCTGCAGAACCTGAGGAGGCAGAGCAGAGCCCCGTTCCCAGCCAGCCCACAGAGGCAGATAAACAGCATGATGCCAACTATGGCTGCATCGGTGATATCAATTCCACATGTATTATCTCCTTCAGTGGGTGAGGCAGGAGATGAGGACACGGTGGTCACCTCCATGGATGGACGCTGGGCAGGCAGTGGGATGTGGCCCCTGGCTGTGGTCAGAGTGGATGGGCAGTCAGTGCTTGCAGAATCCAGGGATAGACCACAACACTCCTCAGCAGCTCCCTGCAGTGGGAAGGATTCAGTGGGGAGGAGTGAGATGTGCAGGGGAGGAGGGTGGTGGAAATGGTGGGGTGGGAGAGGGAGGTGGGAGGGTCGGGCTTTGGCAGGGCACTGCGGTCACCGGGAGAGGGTGGAAGGAACAGAGCAGCTGCTGCAGGAGAGGAAGGTGGGGTAGGAAGAAAGGGAAACATTCCACTGACCTGTTCCCTGTGGGGCAGCAGCAGGCAAAGGGGTCTGTGCAGATCAGCGGCTCTTCCTGGTCCCTCTTGGTACCTCCTGGTACCTCTTGCTCCTCTGTGTCCTAAAACGGCTCCTGCCAGGTCAGGGACATGAAGGACAAAGTGACCAGGTCACCAAGAGATCCTCACTCCTGTCCCACCACCTGCTGTCTGTGCCCAATCCTGTTGTTGCCCTCCAAGAGTCAGTGCAGTCACCGAGCAGTCAGAAATTGCATCTTTGGCTATGTCAGAGCTCCACTTCCTCAGAGATATTTAT